CCAGACAGATTCACTGATTATTATCAAGTCCTGAGTAGAGAGAGTCTGACTGGACGTTGTTACTGGGAGGTGGAGTGGAGAGGGGGTGGAGTTGATGCAGCAGTCGCATACAAGACTATCAGCAGAGCAGGAGAGTCAGATGAATGTGGATTTGGATTTAATGACAACTCTTGGTTATTGAGCTGTGACAGAAAAAGTTGCAAATTTTTGCACAAGAAAGTCCAAACTGTCCTCTCAGGTCCTCGGTCCTCCAGAGTAGGAGTGTACCTGGATCACAGAGTAGGAGTGTACCTGGATCACAGAGCAGGTATTCTGTCTTTCTACAGCGTCTCTGAAACCATGACTCTCCTCCACAGAGTCCAGACCACATTCACTCAGCCGCTCTATGCTGGACTTTGTCTTTTTATTGATCATGGAGACACTGCAGAGATATTAAACTGAAATAGACAGAAGTCACTGAGGGACAGCTAGTTCCTGTTTCTTTGGTCTCCAGCATTGCTGTCAACAGTGATGGAGATTTTGAAAAGCGGTCAGAGTGGCACCAGAAAGTTCTTTGAAAGCAAATTCTGCTAGACCGAAAACAATTTCTAATTAGCTTGTATGAAGAAGATCATAAAATCTAATAAAAATGAACAAACATTAATGAACTTCCGTTTTTATATCAAGAAGACACTAGTATTATAAATGTAATTGTTTTATTATGAATAGTATTGTCTAAGCTCACAGATCAAATATTACACTCTGAATAAGACTTTTAATTTCAGTCCTTCCAGCACACAAAATCACACGTATTCTACTAGAGAAGATGTGGATTTTATAGACACTCAATCTGAAGACTTGCTTAATGTAAACCCTCCTGTGTGAAGTTTGTTACATGTTTGAACTGATACATGCTGATTTTCTTTTTTGTTGTTGTTGATTTTTGTGTTTTAACACAGAGGAGTTATTTGGTTATTTGAAGAAATATTGAAATGAAAATCTTGATTTGAATCATCTGCTGCTGTGGCATATGTAACTCATTACTGGTATTTTTTTTT